TCATCAAGAGTTTTCATTTGAGTACCCACATGCATTTTTGATATATTTTTCATATATACATATATATAATATATATAAATATATAAAATATATGAAAAATTGATGTGGGTATTCAAATGAAAGGTCTTGATGAGTGCAACATCGGAATGAGCTTATAACTTTAAAAATGGCAATAGTTCACGAGTTACAAGGTCATTTCTTAATTATTGACATTTTTAAAGATATAAGCTCATCCCGATGTTACGCCCATCGAGACCTTTCATTTGAGTACCTACATCAATTTTTCATATATTTTTTATATATGGTATTTGTGGAGTATATAAATATATAAAATATATGAAAATTGATGTGGGTACTCAAATGAAAGGTCTTGATGAGTATAACATCAGAATGAGCTTATATCTTTAAAAATGTCAATATTTCACAAGATACAAGGTAATTTCTCAATTATGTATGTAGAAATAGAGCATTTTTGAATGGAGCCTAAATACTTATCATAATTAAATTTTCATTGCTTGTTTAGTTTTTACTTGTTAATTTTAGCCATCATCAGGCTTATCCTCACCTCCCGGGTTCTTATTAAGCAAATATTTATATATAATATATAAATATATTATTTTACAGATGTGTGAGATGTAATGGCGAGGGAGCACTTTTGTTTCTACCGTTACTTAGTGGATACGAGAACCCGGGTCATTATCTTTATCAATCTTAGCCTGAGCGTAAACGCTCACCAGTCCAGCCATTCGTGACCATCTTTGGCCGCGGAGCTTACGGAAGAGCTCTCTCATCTGTATTTTAGAGCAAGACCAAGAAGATTAAGAAGACAGACACGTGTTAGTGTGTGAGCCAAACTAGTCCTGCTAAAACAACCTTTTAAATTTATTTATTTAAATTAAAACGGACTTGTCTTTAGTGGATTTTATTTTGGCCTCCACTTTTCACAACGCGGTGTCACAAGAACAAGATACTTAACTTCCACGTGTCACTCACCTCATCTGGACGTTGTTAATCTGCAATCATACATATAATTACAACATATACTTAACAAGCAAATTTCTGTTTTTATCTAGAAATTTTTATGTTTTTTATTTACATTAAATTTAAACGACCACACATCAGAAATAATATTAAGCGGGTCTTATCAGCCAAGTCTGATTATTTTAAATAAAAATAAAAATAAGTGTAGAATTTTCGGATCTTAACTTTATCTTTTGTATATAATACCTAGACTAATGCTCTGCCCGTAGATTAAAATTCAAGTGCTCAACTGAAAGCCACCCTGTAGTTTACGGG